CATTCATAATTCAAAGCTTCATAGTTCATATATATATATATATATATATATATATATATGAACTAGGTACAGATCAAATCTATAAAATTTTAAAAAATTTAAAAATTATTTAATATTTTATTTCATTAATTTAAGTTAATAAATAATTATAAAAAATATTTTTACATATTTAATTTGTGTATTAAGAACTTTAAATTCAATGATTGGATCAGTGAAATTTGATATAAAATATGAGTTATTAAACAAAGTAAATCTAGATAATCCAATATGAAGTATCATCCATTAGAAATCATAATTAATATTTGCTAAAAACTGTAAACACATACAACATAGACATTTTTTCCTAACAAAATTTATTTCGAATAAAAATCCTAATTTGAATTTTAAATAATTGTTAAGATAAAAGTCATTGCTATTTGTGTCATTGACACTCAAAACTTTTTATTAAATCATCGTTGTGTCATAATGATATAACGGATTTTATGAGGAAAGATTGAAATATTCAACATATATGTGCATAATTTTTAGTCAAATTGAGTTCAAATTCAGGCAATTGGTTAAGAACATTGGATAGTACTCATCGTGTGAGGATGACTAAGGTTACTTATAGTTGATGCTAAGGGTTCTCTTTCTAACGTTGTAATCTTTTCCTTTTCTTTTCTTTCTCTGCTGTTAAAAAAGCATTAATATAATTTATTTATTTATTTTAAAAATGATTTGTATAAGATTTTCTTTAATTTGTTGAGTCTAATAATTCATAGTTGAATTATTTGGTTCTGCCTTTAAATAAAAATGTATTAGTGAATAATCTTTTTATTCACATAAATACTTCTAAAAAAATTAAAGTATTTTATTAATAGATAATAAAATTCCTGCGTAGATTCTAGCAAAAAAAATTAAATATTTTTACTAATAAATAATAAAATTCCAAAATTAAAAGCGTTTTTCATAAAGAAATATGTTTTCAGTCGTTATTATCAAATATATAATTGCTAATTTAATTTGATTTAACATTTGGTCCAAAAAAAATATACTTTCCTAGTTATTTCAAACCATTTATCTCTTTTATCTTTATTTGTATACTTGATTTTCTCAACTATTTATCTCTTTAATTTATTATTTTGAAATTAAATTTGAATATTTTTTAAAACAATTATTTATAGTTTCAACAAATATTAATACTGTATTTTGTAAAGTTCTATTTATATGTATCAACCTATCCATTTTAAGGATAAAAAATTAAAATAAAAAAAAAGAGCTGACGCAGCGACACATGGGTGTGTTGATGCACGTGCAAATCCAAGATTCCTTAGTAACTGGTAAGGGGGGAATAGGAAGATTGATTTGAGTGATAAGTGATAAGAAAGTAGTGAAAAGTGAAAACAGTTAGAAACTTAGAAAGAAGAGAAACCGTCACACGTGCCACTTCTCTTCTCTCTTTTTGGCGCCAAATGATCGTGACGCAGAGAGTGTTACTCTCCTGTTTTCTCGGAACACTCTATCTTCTTTCTCACTACCAAACACTAACTATCATCATAACATTATGTTATTATTATTATTATTTTTTTAAATCATTTTAATTTTGTTTTTTTATTCAAAATAATTAAAATAATAATAATATATCCAATCGATCCATCTCTCTCTCTCTCTCTCCCAGTCTCCTCGTATTCAATCTGAATCAATAACCATCTTTGATCTTTGATTCAACGTGAACGTACATCTCACTGCATCTCGCCTTTGAATTAATAATGCACCATTATATCTTCTGTTCTCACTTTTCACGTTCTTCTTTTATTTTCTCCTTCTCCATCTTCCAGTTTTGCAAATCTTCCCATTCTTGAAGGATCAACGAGCTCAATTAGGCTTCTGTTAAAAGGGTTCTTAAAACTATTATGCATCGGTTGAATTCACGTTTTTCTTGGTATTCTTTATATTGTTGGAACATTACTTTGAAAATCTTGAAATTTGAAATTCAATGGCACATAAAAAAATTGTCCTTTTTGACTCCAACCTCTTGTGACCAGTTTTTCAGGTTGTCTTTTGTGTTTGTGAGAAAATTAGTGGCATATGCTCAGCCTCAATTACTTTACAAGGTTTCAAAGGTCGTGTCTTTTCTGTTTTGAACTGTCCAATGGAATTGGAATCATCATGTTTTAATTGCATTGAATTTGTCTAATTTAATTCAGATTATACCATGTTTCTAACTGTTACTTTTATGATTGGATATTAATTTCAGGCTTGAGCTTTCAAGAGTTTCTTGAATGTTATGATTAAATGGGGATTTCTTTGAAACATGTCTCCATGGAAATCTGAAGTTCCCATAGTGATGAATTCTGCATCTTATGACATTTCAGAACCCAGTGACTTGGACAGCCCAAATGCTAGTTCCAATGGAAATGGGAGTTTTCTGACCTTTTATGGTGAGGTGGAAGGTAATGTTGATAGGACTTACTTAGTAACTTACCACCCCTGTTAGTAATTTTCATGTTATGTGTATTCATAATTCATTCATGTGGTGATCTCCTTCTGTTTGAATATTTTCAGCCAAACATCGATTGCTTTTGGTTCACTGGTTAACTAGTCTTGTTCCTTCATTGTACTTCCCAATAAATGTCACGGATGGTGAATTAAGAGCATGCTTGAGCAATGGTACAGTTTTGTGCCAGATACTGAACAAGCTAAGACCTGGTACCGTGAATGTGGTAACACTTTTTAACCTTTTAATTAACTCAAACTTTAATTTGCAACTTGATTTGAGGTATACCTTTAAGTCTGGATTCTCTTGTGTAGGTTAGTGAACCTGATAATTCTCTGCCATCACAATCAGAAAATGTTAAATCGTTTCTGAAAGCTATGGACGGAATGGGAGTACCCCGGTTTGAAATATCAGACCTAGAGAAGGTATAAGAGGCCTAACTTTGTGTAATACATTCAAATTATAGCTTTAATTTCAAAAATTAGAACAAAACTTAGTCCGGAGACAGTTACACATTTGTCGTCAATAAGGCATTATTACAAAAAAACCTTAGGAAATATTGTTAGTGAATCTTGTTAAAGAAGCATGTCGTGAGGGATTCCTAGGTTTGTGCATATGGAAAAACATATATCAAGATAGGTTAAGCTCTTGAATGAATATCGGTATTTCGAAAAATTAATCCTAATTAACTTTTGTCTAAAGTCGATAATTAAATCGCAGTATAAAAAACTTTACATTTCCCAATGTATTCTAATTTAGTTTTTCATAAGCCTCTTTCATGTTCTTTGTGGGGTTACATGTGTCTTTTGTTGTGTAGGGGTCTATGAAAGCTGTTGTGGATTGTCTTTTAACACTCAGAGCAAAAAGTTTGCGGAATGCTTTGGGAGATAATATTTCTGTAACTAATTCCAACACGGTGAGCCCTCGTGTAAATATACCACCCAATTTTCATCATTCTCCATCATTTAGTGGAGACCAGAAGAAGAGTTTAGCTGGGTCAAAGTTGCAACGTGTTATGAGTACCCCAGTTATGGCGGGTCGGTGAATTTTATTCAACTCAGACTCCTTTACTGTGTGTTTATACATACAATTTCTTGTCAACAATAAAAAAAACTTATCTGTAACTTGAATTTCCTAAGAAAAGAAATTTGTTGAGTCCTAGCTTGTACGTTTAAAGCTAAGGGTAAATAAACTACATGCACTATAAAAAGTGTTAGTCCTATATTTGATTTCTGTTATTAATGCCCACTTTAGTTACCAAAACAAATGATTTAGTTACTTATGACATTATATGATTTATCTAAAAGTTTTGTCCTTAAGCTAAATCTTAACTTTTCTTTGGATGACCTTTTCCTTGAAATTTCTTGTTAGGATACCACTTATCTATACTTTTTGTCCATCATCAGTTTCCAAATAGATGGTGTTCTTGTTTATAAGTGATTAGTTTTATTTGTATACTCTGCAGAATCACCAGCTTCATTGATACACCATGTTGGTCATAAGTTCCATGAGGTGTTTCAACTGAAACCTGGGAGTTACGCAGATCTTCCTGCTGCAAAAATATCAGAAATGATGACGTCAGACAGTTTAGATGTAAGTTTTTAAACTCAAGACTCTGCATTTTATTCACGTATCTATGTGTATAGATACACATTTTATGTTCTATTTGATACATCACTGATTTGTTTCAGATTCTAATGATACAGACTGCACCGACTCAATCGCTTCTGACCGTGGTGAATGGTATTCTTGAAGAAAGTGTTGAAAGAAGAAATGGGGAAATACCTCATGTATGGCCTTGGAGACTTTGGTTTGGTGTTACATATGTTCATAAAATCATTCATAAAACCAAATGTATATAATCCATGCAATTGGGTTGCATAGCACCACAAACACATGTTCCACACAGTTTCATAACCATTGTTTATTATAATTGTTGTTCAGCGCGTGGCTTGCTTATTGAAAAAGGTTACTCAAGAGCTTGAGCGTCGCATGTCAACTCAAGCAGAACATTTACGAACTGTATGTTATGTTCATTACATTATTTTCAAAAGCTAGTTAATTAGTTACTTTTGGTTTCTCTGGAATTTTCTTCATATCACTTTCTTACCCTGTGACTTCAGCAAAACAATCTTTTTAAGGCTCGAGAAGAAAAATACCAATCGAGAATACGAGTACTCGAGGCACTTGCATCTGGAACTAAAGATGGAAGTGAGGTATCACAAAACATTTGTGTAGTCATTTTGTTAGAAGTAGATCAATTTTATTGGGTTGAAATCATCTCTATTTCGTGTCCTTCCAATTAAAAGTGGCAACATACTTTATCCGCTTGCTAGTTACTTTTGCATGTTGGTATGAGTTTTCTATTTACCGGAGGGAACTTTTGTAACAGGTATTTCCTACCAAGTTTCAGCAGTTTAAGGTAATGGTTTCTTGCTTTGCAGAGTAAACAGCATATTGATGGACTTTTAATTAAATTATTTTCGTGTTATTTGGATTTTAGGTTCTTTGTCCCTTGAATGCAGGTTAAGAAGATCAAAGAGGAACAAAAAAAGTTAGATGAAAATGCAGTTATTAGGTTGATAAAAGAGCAGGAGAACAAAAATTTGGAAATTTCAGCCTTCAAGATAGAACTGGAAACAGCCAAAAGAACATATGGACTACAATTCTCACAGTTGGAAGAAGAAACTAAATGTGCTAAAGAAGAATTTACACTGAAAGCCCAAGAACATGAGCATCAATTGCAAGAATTAAGAAATAAGGTAACGGTTCTTACTTTGCACGCTAAGCAATATATTGCTACACCTTGGAGATTGGACAAGACCAAGAGGCTTTAGTTAAAAGACAAAACTTAGATGCATTTCTTTATGCTTTTGGTATTGTTTTTCGATTAGAATTAGAATTTTATTTTAGTAAATTTTTATTAAAAAATTTATTACTCTATTTTTGATTGAAAAATAATATAAAAACATCTAAGGAATTTTATTCAAATTTTATCCTTATATAATTATTTTCGTGTTATTTGTATTTTGAGCCCTTTGGCCATTCAATACAGGTAGAAGAGATCAAAGGACAAGTAAAAACAACAGATGAAGAGGACAAAAATTTGGAAATTTCAGCATTAAAGCATGAACTGGAAACAACCAAGAAAACATATGAAGAAAGATGTTCACTGTTGGAAGAAGAATATGAGCATCGATTGGAAGAATACGAGCATCGTTTGGAAGAATTTAGAAATGAGGTAACGGTTTCTTACTTTTAAAGATATGCAATACACTGGTACACTTCTATATACAGACAAGAGATTTTAATTAATCTAGATTGATATCCACACAACATCCATCTATGTATTTTTCTAATTAAAACATCAATCATTTAAAAATTTTAATTTAATATTAATTAGTATAATATTATTTGAATCATTATTTATTTTTATAAATAAAATGCTATAATTTATTTGAAAAACAAACTACTTATTTAATCTCAAATATTACTTAACATCAATTTTCTCCTTAAAATTACAATATCAAATAATTCTTTTAAAGATAAAAATAGCGTATGAGATTATACTCGTGTGGTGCACGTACATGTATATTTTTTTATATTATTTTAATTATTTAAAGTTAAAAGTGTTAAAATTTAAGTTATAATATTTATGCTACATATTATGTTATGCTAATTAAAAATAAGAATGAAAACATTAAATATAAAAACCAAAATAAGAAATTTTATTTACCTTTGTAAAAAATAATTTTAATACATGCTTTAAATGTGTCTTTGTATTAACCAGCTTTTAACATGGTATAGAGAATTTTGATGTTTTCTTGTATTATGGATCCTTTGGTTTGGTCCTTCAACGCAGGCTGAGAGGATCGAAGAGGAAAGAAAGAAGGCAGATGAAAGAGAAATCAATAGGTTGATGAAAGAGCATGAGGACAACAAATTTGAAATTTCATCATTGAAGGAAGAACTGGAAACAACTAAAGAAACATATGAAGTTAAGTGCTCACAGTTGGAAGAATTAAAAAATAAGGTTAAGGAGCTTGAGGTTTCTTCTGAATCAAAATATCAGAAGTGGAAAATGAAAATGAACCAATTGCAGACTGTTGTAGAATTTCAATTCAGTTCCCTACAGGTAAACATACAAATGTGTTAATGTCAATGTTATCTTGTTGATGTGTCAAACATTACAATTTTGTACTGAATTTGCAAACATCCAGAGAATGAAATTATCTTGGGAATCGATGAAGCAAAGTGTTGTGAAAGAGCAAACGGCTTATGCAGAGGAGTGGGAACGATTAGGTAGGCCTTGTTATTAGAATGCCATCTTATAGTGCACCCTCTTTCCTTCTTTGGAGGTGTAATTCTGATCATTTGATTGTAAATTAATTCTTCAGGTGCAAATCTTAAACCAATGGCACTGGCAGCTGCGAACTACCATGCTCTTCTTGCTGAAAACAAAAAGCTATTTAACGAGATTCAAGAATTAAAAGGTGGCAATGTCTGTGTCTGTCTTCTAGACTATTTATGTGCAAGTGTACTATTAATTCACACGAACTTTTTTCTGATACAGGAAATATCAGAGTATATTGTCGAGTTAGACCATTTCTTTCAGAAAAGAAGGAAAAACAGTCTATTGTTGAACACATTGGTGAAAATGATTTGGTTGTGGCAAATCCATCCAAAGAAGGAAAAGATGCTCTTCGGTCATTTAAGTTTAACAGGGTTTTTGGCCATGCCACAACTCAAGGTTTATGCTATATACACGCCACTTTTAAGATTAAAACTTTTGATTACAGAGTCACCCATTATTTTTAGTTATGTTAACATTCTAATGTTGATATTAATAATGTGAATGGTGCAGCGGAGGTATACTCTGATATCCAATCTTTAATAAGATCAGTTTTAGATGGGTATAATGTGTGTATATGTGCTTATGGCCAAACTGGTTCAGGGAAAACTTACACAATGGTATGAACATTCTGGATATATTGATTTTTATCTCATACATCATGCTATTGAAGGAATTCTTCATTCTATAAGATGCCAACTTTTCTCAGACTGGTCCGAATGGGGCAACAAGCGAGACTATTGGTGTTAATTATCGAGCTCTAAATGACCTCTTCAGGATTTCCACAAGTAGACAAAGCTTCGTAGAGTATGAGATTGGGGTTCAAATGGTTGAGATATATAATGAGCAAGTGCGTGACTTGTTAGCAACAGATGGTTCTCCCAAAAAATATCCTTTCTTTCAATAAATTTGGACAATTTATTTTTTGCATGGATTTCCTTCAAGTTTTTTTCCCTCTTATTTTCCTTAAATGCACACACTTGGGATATTGAATCAATCGCTACCAAATGGCTTAGCAGTACCAGATGCTAGCTTGTTCCCTGTGAAAACACCTCCAGATGTGTTGAAGCTAATGGACATTGGACTTAAAAATAGAGCCATTGGTGCAACTGCTATGAATGAAAGAAGTAGCCGTTCTCACAGGTTACACCACTTTTTTTATCCTTTCTTTAACTTTCAACATTGAAATGCAGGCTTTCTGTTATGATGACATCATGTAAACTTATGTGCACAGTGTGGTCTCAATTCATGTTCGTGGGAAGGATTCGAAGACTGGTTCTACTATGGTTGGTAATCTTCATTTGGTAGATTTGGCCGGAAGTGAAAGGGTAGATCGGTCTGAAGTAATTGGGGATAGGCTTAAGGAAGCACAGCATATAAACAAATCACTAGCTGCCCTTGGAGATGTTATTTTTGCCCTTTCTCAAAAGAGTCCTCATGTACCTTACAGAAACAGCAAGCTTACTCAACTTCTACAAACTTCTCTTGGTAAGCCTTTGTGCATCATATATCAATGTTAACACGCCTTCAATCTTTTTCATGTAGAATTTGTTTTGAGCTTTGAACCTTGTCTTTGATTTTACTGCACAAGGTGGTCAAGCAAAGACACTCATGTTTTTCCAGATTAATTCAGACGTTAGTTCATATTCTGAAACTCTCAGCACTTTAAAGTTTGCTGAGAGGGTTGCTGGAATTGAATTAGGAGCTGCACGAAGTAGCAAAGAGGGCAAAGATGTCAGAGAATTAATGGAACAGGTACCTTACCTTTTGTCTACCAAATTGATTATGTTGGCATGATTGTATTACACACTTTTCAGCTTTGTGAATGCACTAAAATGCGCCTTGTGAATGCACTAAAATGCCTTTCAGTTGATCATATATCTGTTTCCTTTCATTTTATACTTTGAAGTGCATGTTTGTACTAAAGTTTGCAAACGTAAATTTGAATGAATTTCATTTTGCAAACTTAAGTCTTAAAAGCAACCCTGATTTACTTTAATTTGAAGCTTTTGTTTAGAGCCAAACAGATAACTAATTAGCCTCTTCCTTGCCTGACTTCCAGGTGTCTTCTTTGAAGAGCGCTCTTTTGGCAAAAGATGAGGATATTGAAAGGCTTCAATTACTCAAAGGTAGCAATCGTAAGCGAAACCTGATTCCACGAAGTGGAAGTAGTAAGCACTTCGATGATCATATGCACCAAAATGATTTTTCCCATCAATATGAACTTTCTGGGGGAGAGATAGGAAAACATATTGCAGAAACTTCGGGATTCACAGATTCTGATTTTGATGGAAGATCGAGTGATCTTTCGGACAGTGGTATTGCTCCAGGCACGGAAACTGATGGCTCTGAAAATTCAAGTATCACTGGAGGCACAAAATCATCAGAGAAGATGGAGAGGTGAGTAGTGCTTAAAAACATATTGCAGAAACTTCGGGATTCACAGATTCTGATTTTGATGGAAGATCGAGTGATCTTTCGGACAGTGGTATTGCTCCAGGCACGGAAACTGATGGCTCTGAAAATTCAAGTATCACTGGAGGCACAAAATCATCAGAGAAGATGGAGAGGTGAGTAGTGCTTATTCTCTATTACGGCTTTGGCCACTGCCCTTTACATTCCTGCTAAACACTAAACAGTTACTAAATCTTCATATTAGAAAGGAATTTTTTTTAATAATTTCCTAGCTAGTTGTTACAATATTAAGGTTATTGCATAGTAGGAAATCAGTTTTATGCATTTTAAATTTGCATCAGTTGATGCCTACGTGTATTCATGCATGGCCGGGAACAATCAGTGATAATTAACCTCACATGCATCATTTAGTAGTCATGCATGCTTAAAACTAGTGTACACATTATTCAATTTCTTTTTAACATTCTTAATTTATGTATTCAGCAGATCTAAAGCTATTCGCAGAACCGTTCAAGCGATGAGGAAATTAGGCCTAGCGCCATCTATCACTGGCAGCCAACTGAAGGACCCCATGAAGAAGCCATCAGGTATGTCACATAAAGTTGAAGCCGATATGAATACTATGTTAACTATTTTCTTCTTAAAACCTGTGCTCATTGAACTCTTAAATTTGATTTCAGGTATGAAAAAAAGCGTCAGTATAGGCAGCCTTAGACCTCAAAAACTATGGAAGTAAAGTAGGAAGCACAAGAATACTCTTTCACTATTTGACGCACCATGTAAATATTATTATTTCGTTGGTATGTTCTAGCACTTGATTTTTAATCATATTGGTGACATTTTTGTGGGTATTTGTATTCACAAGTCTGACACCACCCAAAAAATAAAAAAAGAATCAAAGTTTATGTGCAAACATAGGAGAGCTAAACTCCAGTTAAAAATAGAAAAAGTATTTACAACAAGCATTCAACAAGTTGATGTACAGCTTGATCCGCGTAGAACAATAGGTAAACAACCTTGTGCTTCTATATCACACTTTAAAAAAAAACATGTATCTTTATACGGTTAGTCTGTGACATGCATGTGAAGGTTATGATAGGCAAACATCGCTGGCCCATATCAACCACTAACCATAAAGACACGCCAAAACTATCTGCCCTAAAATAGATAAACATATAAATCAACTTATAAGAAGTTATTCTGGTTTAATAAGTAATTTTGAGCTTGAATTTTGATATGAAATTATTCTAATTTAATCAATAATTGAGTTTGAATTGAGTCCATAACTGTGTTAAATATTAAAAAAGAGAGAATTTTACTGTCGATAATGCCTTATCCAGCCATGATAGATGTGATTTTAAAAAAAAAAAAATCTACTCTAACATGTGTGTTTGTCATAATCCTCCCTCTAACACGCACATGGGACATTGATGACTGTTGATAACATATTTTACACCATTCCACGTCACCCTCACGTTAGCAACTACTAACCTCCATCGTTCAACAAATCCATAATTAAAACACAAGACAAGGCAAAATGCCTCAAATCTAACCAAGAAGTGCGCTTGGTTGCTTTGCTTTCCAAGCCAATATTTTTATTTCCCTCGTGTCTCTCTCTTTAAAGAACACAATCATGGATTGCACTAATAGAAAAATACAATCAAACAGTCTCAACTTTTTAATGGGTGGATTGCGAGGATTAGGCAGCTTCTATTGGAGAGAATATCATGATATCATCTAAACCAAAGGCATCACCTCCAAAACGGGCACCCAAAAATTAATAAATAATAATATACAAAATTCAAAAGACTTTTCCTCAATTTCCTCCAAATTACAATTACAAAAGGAGGAGCTGAGTGACAGACACAGCAATTATAAGACCCTACGAATCTAACAAGACAATTGCCCTATTAGCCTTACCCTCTTTTTATTGATCAAAAGGAAAAGCCACACAAAAAAATATAAAGAGTCCTTCCCATCTTGAAATTTTACATGACATCACACTCAAACAAACTTGCACAGACCCCTTATATACACATAGTACTCTAACATGATTAGCTCCTCTTTCCAAAAAAAAAAAAAAAAAAAGTCTCCTGCTATTAGAACTTGATTGACTTCTTGTCCTCTACCTTCTTTTCTCTGCTTCCTGTATTAGTTCTCTCTTTTTTCTTTTAATTTTTCTTTTCAAAAATGGATTATGCTACAGCAGAGATGCTGCAGCTTCTCCTATCTCTGTTAAGACAGTCAAAACCTTCGATCCTTACAGCAGCTGGTGTGTGGCCAAATTTCATTGGAACACAACCACGAGCTGAAGAAGAGGATGCCTCGGTAAATGGACTAAAATTCCCATTACCAAATTGCTCATCTTGGATTACGGGGTTTGAGGCCCTGCTAGGAGGAGATCCACAGAAAAATGGTGGTGATGATGCTACCACTTGGCCACCAGATCTTTCCACATAAAAGTTTTCCTGCAAACAAATAAAAAAGTCTTTGATTAAAGATATCATCATCAAAAGGGTTCACAAGCTTTGATCATGAATAATTATCATAATCCTCCCATTGCACATATTCCAATGGAAAGTCTGTGGCTGAGATTAATTTAAACACACGTCCCTAATTACATTTAATGGCTCCAAATGAATTCTATCAAAACCTCAATTGAACCAAAAATAAATTTTATCCCACTTTAAAATTAATGGATCTTGGAGGCATCGCAAGAAATCAACTTTTTGATCATCTAACTTTGTTTGAGGGAAATACTAGAAAAATCAAAACGGGAATATAACCTTTGATAATCATCTGCAAAAATTGATTTCGTGGATCGTTTAGGTTTCACGGGAAATCAACATTCTTTTATCATATAACTATGTTTCTCAGAAAAATACCAGTACGAGGGAAAACATGAAAATTATATAAGAAAGTAAACATTTTTTTTTGTAGTAATTTGGTTTCCTAGTATATAACAAAAGATTAACACGGGAAAGAACCTTGGGGAGGATGATATCCAGAAGCTCTGCCCCAACTCCTGAATCTTCCATCTCTAATTGGTACCTGGTTTTTGAGGGAACAATTAGAGAAAAGTCGTGATTTTTATAAAAGAATAGGTTTAAAAAAAAAAAAACACAAAATGAAGGCCTAAAAGAAGAGAGAATAACCTGATGGGGTGCCTCAAGGGTCTTATGTGTGTGTTGATGGAAGAGTGGTTTATGAGACCCAATCGGCGAGGTTTGGGGCAAATCACTGTTTCCATCCTCATCTCCTCACAGCTTCTCAAGGTGTTCTTCTCTTGGTACCCATAGTAGCTATTCATCTTTCCTTCTGAAAGCCACAGATCTTGACAAGGAACACCTGCAACCACAAATAACAACAACAAAAATTATTTTTTTAATCCCACAGTTCTTTTCGGCTTGAGAAGCCAGAGAAAAATTGAACTAAACCCCACAAATCCATGCAAAGAAAAGAAGAAACCCATTTTCACAGTTTTTCTAAATCCACAAGAATTAAAATAAAAATTAAAAAAAAAAAAAGTTTGATACTTTTTCATTGAAAGCAAGCATGCAAAACACCCACCTTCTTCTCAAGGCTTTTTTTTTTTTTTTTTTCTCAGCAGCGGAACAAATCCACAAAGACTTTAAAAATTGAGACTTTACACACTCTCACACGCCTAAGCTAAGTCTTGAAGTGTGTTTGTTTCTTGATGAGGCAAAAACAGAGAGAGAGAGAGAGAGAGAGAGAGAGAGAGAGAGTACCTGAGGACGCACGCAGACAGAGGGCAGTCTGAGAGGAGAAGAAGGAGAAGGAAAAATGGGCGAAGGAGGTGGAGAGGATAAGAAGAGAGAAAGAGAAGTGTTACAGTGGAGACAAGTGCAGAGCCAGTGATGTAAGACCGCACTTGTGGAGCATTACTATCTCAGATTGTGTTTGTGTCCATCTGATCCACACACACGTGCTCATCACTCTTGTTCTGCACTTCGTATAACGTTTCTGCATTTATTATTCCACCTAAAACGCCTCTATCATTCTTTCTTTATTCATCAATTTTCTCTCATTTTTTAAGTAATGCAAGTATTTACTTAATAATTAACTTTATTTTTAAAAAATTAGCTATTGTTTTTTATGGTAATTAATTTATTGCGTCAGTTATTGAAGTTTGACTTTAATTAAAAGTATTATCAACAATATTAAAGGAATTACTCTATGTGTCTCAAATACTAACATCATTTTTTATATAACTATCAGATAATAATAAATGTATCATTTTTTATATAAATTTATTAAAATATATATTTTTTATAATATATCATTTTAATTATAATTGTTAAACAATTAATGAATAAATAAATTAAAAAATATTAAAACATTTTTAGTATTAAAATTATGATTATTCTAGAAAAGAGTGTGTATTATTCAATTTTGCATAAAAAATGATTTTATATTTTTATTGAAAATATGTGTTAACAAAGTAATTTTTTAATATGTGCTTTCAGACATTACTTGTTATTAATTTAAATTTATTAAAAATTATAAAATTTGTCAATTGACTTGTTATTATTTAACAATGAGTTTGGATAGTTAGGGGGGGAAAAGAGCATTATGGTAAAAAAGCCACTGTAAATTCAATACAAAATCAATTATTTGTTGCCAAAAACAAAATAAAATACGACGTATCATTTTATTCCCGAACATGCACCAACACATCTTTTACCCTTTGTTTGATGAAGACAAAATAAGGATGAAAAGAAATAAATAACTAAAAATTAGAAAAAGAATAATGTGTTTGATAGAGGAAAAAGATAAAATAAAAAGTATGGAACATAGTATTGTTTTTTAGGGAAGATACCTGCTAATAATTTTCACTTTATTTCATATATATATTTATAAACTAAGCACCTATAAATAAAAATTTTTCTATGTCTCACTTATTTTCATTAAACTTTTCAATTTTATCCACACTATTTTTCATGTATTTTTCCCTTTCCTACTAAATAGACAGTTAAAAATTGACCATGTATTTATATTTGCGTTAGCTTTTCTAGACGTGGATAATAGACGTTATAATTTTCTTACTTTTATTCTTTCATTTTTTACAAATTAATTTTTAAATATAACATTTTATTGCACGAACATTGTTAATATTTTTTTGTTAAACTGATTTTTAATCGTGCAAAAATATTTTTGTCTGCGTTAAATCTTTCATAGAAATAACTTTGACGGTTTTCTATATTCTTAAGGGATAAATTTAATGGAAATTTAAAGACTAAGACAGTTATTATGTTTCAATATTAAAAAACTTTCAATAAAAGAATTATGTATTATTATCTTAATTTGAACTAGCAAAATGTAAGTTTAGGTTTTAATTTTTCACATGAAATATCATAAATTAATTATTAAATACATAATTAATTGTTGCATTTTGTTTTGACTTAATCAGTTATCTCAATAGTTGTTTCCACTTAATTAATTATCTTAAATTGATTTTTTTTACACCAATCTTAAATTAAATCTTAAAAAACATTGTAACTTATAATATTTGTGCTCAACTCAATCATTGTTTTTAGGACAACTGCTCAACCAAAATTACATTCCATGCAGATTAACCATTATTTATTTATTTATTTTACAGAGACCACTATTCTTAAAGAATCAAAATTTAACCATGATTATTTATTTATTCCAAGTCCTAACCGAAGTTGGACTTCTATAGGGCTACAGGATTAGGACCCCCATGCAGAAAACAGCTACATTTACTTATGTTTCAATTATATATATATATATATATATTTTATCATTTATAACAAAGATAATTAATAAAAATAATAAAATTTAATACAAATAACTAATTAATTCTTTTAAATATGCATAAAATATTTTTCAGCACATTCAAATTATGGGTATTTAGCTTTAATTTAGTTAATTTGTTGCGTTTTTGGGTAACCAATGGTATTTCATGCCTCTTACAAACTTGAAAGTCAAACCCAAAAAACAAGTTCCAAGTCCAAACATGAAGGTCTTATCTTATGCGATTAATAAACGAAGAAAAAAGAAAATGAAGAGAAAGAATAAATATATCACTAGTGTAGATATCAGATTCAAAGATCTAAAGTGATCCATATATTCCAATATTCTAAAGTGGAAATGATGATAAATAGCACTTTGAATTTTGACAACACCATAGGTGCTCCTCCTGGCCCCTGGGATCGCACCCTTCGACATTTTTCTCCCTCCCTTTAAAAAGTTCTATTCATTTATTAAAAGTGAAAACTTTAAATAATTCTCTATATTATATTAAGGTTTATGTATACTTTTTTCTTCATACAAGTTTTATGCATACTTTGTTCTCGTTACTTTTACACAGCGGAAAACAGATATTCATAATCCACGTTTAGATAGAAATTATATTAAAATGAACGTAAAAACAATTATTTTTATTTTTATTAATTTATATTTAACCAAAATTGATTTAAATGCAGATACGATTTTTATACAGTTTTTTTTTCTTTTCATAGTCAGAATAAGGTGGGGGGTGAGATGTGATAAATTATTTTATTTTAACAAGTTGTTATGTGTATTAATAATTTGTAATTTATTTATATATTAAAGGTATTATGTAAATTAAGCAGGCGGTTGTGATTTTAAATGTTAATTCTTATAAATATAAAAAAAATCAAATTAAGAAAAGATGTTCACTTATTTAATATTGGTCAAATTTTTAAAAGAGATTAATTTTTATATTTGACAAGAGATACTAGATCGAACATGTACACTTACCTTTGCTTTTGATGATAATTTAAATATTATAGTTATATATTCTTTTAGTTATAAAAATGAAAATATGAAGAAAAAAAAATTCCAGCAAGCTACATCTCAATGTGAAATACAAGGAGCATGTAGAATAGTCTTATTTTTATAATTAGTATTATAATAATATTAATACAAAGTATTTTATCAGTTGAGATAATAACTTTTTAGTCAAACTATTAATTTTGACATTACTTATTAGGAATATAAAAGAGTTAAACACACATTAAATTTATATTATCCAATATACTCATTTCTATTTTAAACGTAGGATAGACATATATGTTCATAGCCTAAAACAAATGTAAGTCAGATTTAGTGATGTTATTTTAAGAAATCATGCCATTGGAATTAAGCTTTTGTAAGGGAGTAGAGAAAGAGAAAATAAGATGATTTACTTGTTAAAATCTAAAATGGAGGCCATATATATATAACTTGCGAGTACTGTTTATCTTTACTCCAGCGTTGCCTCTCAAATCCCAACACACAAGACACATTTTTCCAACTAGAATATTAAAAGAAAAGAAGAATGAGGAGAAAAGAAAGTATAGAAGATAACAAGGCCAAGCTCAAGAATCCTTCATAAACCAACATCCTTGATCTCTTTGCCTAATGAGGTGCCATTCATCTTCAATTTTGTGAATTGATCATCCAACAACAGATATACTGATGAGCCAAGTCAATCAATCTATAATAAAGTATATCAAGAAAAATAATATATCGCAAGTTGTTTAAGAAATTCATGTAGCTAGCTAGCTAGCTAGCTTTTAATCAAACTACATAAAACCACATTTATATATATACAAGTCATCTAGAAAGTTATGCACATTAAATATCAAGCTTAATACGATTAACCAATGGCAAAATTGGCTAAAAAATTGCTCTCTTCTAGCAGATCTGCAATGCAGCTAGCTACAAAGCTCCATTTCAGAAATGAAACCAGCAGTATTAGGTTAATTAACTCCATTGGAGTTGCATATTGTCACTGTCTCTGTCAGTCGTGAGTATAACATAATGATATATGGAAGATACATGCATGATGCATCACACAACATTAAATACGCTACAAACAATCGCATTAAAAAAGAAGGCATCATATCGTTGGATAGGGAATATCTGAATTATTGAGAAGCGGTGTGTGGGTGTAAATTGAGAATCAATATCACTTTATTACAATTTTAAAAAACAACCCATTATGCAGATTACAGATCACCAATCAAAGTCGTCCATTAAATGTTAACTATCGATCTAACGGTAGATATTCGTGGTGAAGCAACATGGCATCGATAGTGGGCATGGGGAACAAGGGAAAGCGTGGTCCAGACCTTCTGTATCTCATGTCGATCTGTGCCTTCATTTTAAGATGCCTTCTACTTATTTATTTATTTTATTATTATTATCATTTATAAAAATGATGGATTGTAGTTCAGTTGTTGTGACTATGTTCCTCCACCCCACACGAAACAAAGATGCCAGAAAAAATATATTATTTGTATAGAAAAGACCAATAACAACAAAGAAATATCTACTACAACCACGAGATCGGTTTAGTAGTATATATGGATTGAAATAATATCTAAAAGGTTATTATTGAAATTCCATTTGGATGATTGATATTAGTCTTTAAGGTATAATTTTAATTTTACTAAAAAATGATTCTAAGATACGCCCAGAAAAACTTGTTGCTATTATAGTAATTTGCATACGGTAAAATCCATCTTAAAAAAGAAGAAGGAATATCTTTTTGATACATTCGTCAGTATGGTTTTACTTTGTCTCATAAATGCTAGTTGGTTTGGGATCTTTTCCTGTACATCCAGATCGAATCTGTGGTGAACAACTATCACAACATAATTAATTGATGGAAATTCACTTGTAACACAAAACTTAACTCAGTTCATTCAAGTTTTATTATTTTTGGTTTTGGAATAATGTGAGTGAACAAGTGGTGCCCCTTTATATGCTCGTTTTAAAGTATCATGTTGTGGTGTGTATTGAGTTCATAGCAGCCATTAGCTTGTTCCATATAGGTACTGATCGATGAATCAATACCCCCCAAAACTAAAATACTGACTCTTGTTTACCTATATTAACATACCAAATATGCCAATACTAAATAATTTTAAAAAAACTCAATTTTAAGAGAAATATAAATAATTAATACGTCTAAGTTTGTGCTGAGGAGGAGAATGTGGGATTTTTGAGATAACTGAGAATAAAACTCGGTCCCTTTTCCTCTTGGTCCACTAATGACCATAAGATAGTCTTTAGTTCGATAAATGTTTGGACATACGAGGGTTTTTCATCATAGTAGTCTCATTCGGTCTTTTTAGCCCGTTATTGGAGTCAGCAATTTCTCCATGCACCCTTCCAATTGTCATGTACACACCTCATTTTAAAAATTCTTAAATTATCCTTTTCTCTCTCTACACCACTCACTTATTTTCTCACACTCATCACCCTTCACTAATAGTTTTCGAAATACATACATATATATATATAGGTACTCCAGACAGTTATACATACACCAAATCCGGATTATTGTTTTTTCAGAATAATCAATCTAGATCATTGTTTATTTGAATTGTGATTTCCAAAAAGACAAAAGTCTAAAATAGGTGTTCTGAAATTACATAATAGTTTTATATTAAGTGTTCCAAAATGTAACCTCCAAAATAAGTATCCTAAAGAAGACTCTCAAAACAAGGTTAATTTAATAAGTTTATAAAAATAACGGATGCATGGCTTAAAAAAGCCGATCGCAGGAAAAAATTCCCTACCGGAGCCCATCTGGTATCCATGTTTCCAAAAAATACCAACACTAATTGGATATACATTGTCAACTATTTATTCTAGTTATACTGAATCAATCACTAAATATAATTACACATAGTTCTTTATCGCATAATATCTCATAGATGAATATAAATATTGATTTTGATATTTAAAACAAAGAAACGATTGAGAGAAAAAAAAAATGAAGACATTATGAGAGTTATACGTAGACAAGTTCCCCAAAAGAGACATGATTTATTGTATTTTGGAGTCAACTGGAACCTGCATGTAGATGTCAATATACAACTTTGAATATGTATATTCTTCTAAAAATTCTTATTGTATGCTGCTGTAAATTTAATTTTACAAGTGTAATTATAACCTGTAGACAGTTATGCCTGTCATTGGTTCAGTATTATTTTCTCTATTTGTTTCTTCCTAAGACTGGTTTTATTCAACCTCATGTGTGTTCACCAAAAAAAAAAAAATTTAACTTCATGTGTGGCAGCCTTGTCCATTCTTCTTTTGGTTCAGCTCAAATCAAACCTAGATACTTGATTTGGCTCTGGTCTTTTACCTTCTAAATGAATCAACAAAATAAACATTCATCTGTGTCTCTCTTTCTTTGAATTTCAGGCTACACAGTCCATGCTTTCCACATGTTTGTTATTTTGATTTGTAGGGTCGGTTCATTTTCTTTAATCTAACATTACAGAAGAGTGCTATGCTACGCATGTTCCTCTTGTGCAGTTATCTAGTCACCAAATTATACAATCTGGTGGGGTTAATGTGAGGGGAAGAATAGTGGGGTGGAATAATCTCTTTGAAGTTTCCCTTCCATGATTCTCACTTTGCTCATCTTCTCCTCACACCAGTGCAATTGCTCTTCACTCAAGTCATTCATTCTTAAAACCCTTGACACCACTTTTAGGTCTATGAGAGCCATCAAAATATCCATATTCTTTTCCACCTTTATCTTTCTCTTCCTCAAGCATGTGCCTGGATGGCTGAGATCCTTAACCTTCACCCTCTTCTGTAGATAATTAGGTGGAGAAAAAAACATGTCTTAGGAAATTAAATTACATTGAAAACATTGAAGAAAAATTGATTTGAAATTTGGATCTCGCCTTTTGATTAACCTTCTTCATTAGTCTGAGTAGTGTTGGATCAACCGTGCCTCTTTGGTTTCTCCTGAAGTAGGCTGCAAGGATCTGACAGGGTTTCTCTTTATCATTCTTTAGAAAATTCATGAATGTCTTGATCCCGTCCTCCATAATCTTTAGAAATGAAGCTGATGATATTTTGCATTGAAAACCACCATCCTTCTGATCCTCCTCTAAATCTTTAAACAATCAAGAAAAATAAATTCTCATAGCAATGATGTATACTCAATTTTAGGGCAATAATTTTAACCTTTCACCCCACAACACTGTTTTTTTTTTGGCATACGTTTGGTTTGCTCAAAACTTTTCTATTCTTATTTTTAATTACAAAAACATCATTTTTTTTTTCTGTTCTAAAAAATGTAAAGGAAACAGTGACAACAAAAATAAAAACAGAATCAATGGCCATATAAGAATTGTAAAAGTACAAGGCTTGCACTAAACAGAGTTGTTTAAAAGTTTTGTTCTGTTTTACCAACAACATTGGTTATACACGATGCAAGCCAAGTCCATGAATCATGATTTAATTAAGGTTGAGTTATTACATGGGTTTGAGTATACTTGTGACATGAGATTTACTTCTAGTAAAGGGAGAAGAAAGTAATTTCCATACCTTGATATTCTGGCACTAGGAGCAATTTTGGTGCCAAAAGCCTCATTCTAGCATAGATCTCAGGTCTCCTGCCATGCTCAAAAGGCTCGTTCTCAATGTATCGCTGTAACAAAACCTGAAATTGCTGGAATTGCTGCGCAATGGTGGCAGAACAACCGGTATCATGATCCTGGCGTGAGGCATGTTTGGAACGAAAATTTTTGTAGTTCCAACTAAGGGCTTCCCATGTTAAGCAAATTTGTGCAACATATGCAGCTTCTAGTTCACGATATGGATTGTGGCCAACATCAGCGGCTTTTTTATTCGTAGTTTGGAACTTGTACACAATACGCTCTGACATTGATCTTGGAGACATTTGGATGGACCTTAACGACTCTGAAAATTGGATTACCAAAGTGTAACAAAATATGTGTCATTATAATTTATACAACTTATAATAATGAACTAGGAATTAGAAAAGGGTGGTTACCAGTTTCATGAAGTTTCTGTGCACTAATTCTGTCTAAGATTGCCATTTCTTCATCATATTTTTGGAACAACGTGTATGATTCCCACTTGGGGCAACTTCTTCTGGATGAGGAAGAAAATGCGTCATTTTCAGTCTCGGAATCCCTGCAATTGATGGAGCTCCTCCACTTAGAGGACTCATCATCCTTCTCTTCAACCATTAACTTCTTGCTATGCAACTGTGTTGAAGCAAACACAAAGAATCTCTCATCCCTTCCGAGGTTTGCCTCTTGCACCTTCTTATTTTTAATAATTTCAACGCTAACATGATCGTCTGCAGAAAGTAATTGATATCAGACAGTTGAACAAGTAATAACGGTGCTCGTGAATAATTCACAACTCACTATAATCTTAGAATTCTTGTTTGAATCTCCCACTTTTATATATCACTTTTAGTTATATTATTAGTCAATGTGTGATTTCTAACAAAATGAAGGTTGAACATCTTAAACGCGAAATTCACAAAATGAAACATATGCAAGTAGTCTATGCTTATCAAGTATCAACAATATTTAAGATAAACTTGATACCATTTTAAATTTTAGATTCTTAGTTATTCCTAAAAACTATCTCATGAGTTGAGAATTACCTCTCCACTTATATATTATTTTTCACCATATATCATAAATTAATGTGACATCTCGTCACATAATATAGAATATAGAATAGTATGATATATTGGCTATAATGTGAGATACCGTCACGGTTTTTGTTTCTTTTGTAGGCGTTGAGGTTGATGGGGGAGGTGGTCCTGCTTTCAACTTGGGCAGAATTAAGAACAGAATCAGCATCTCTTGCTGGAAAGTCTTGTCCAACCGTTTCTGCCTCTTCACTTTCGAAGTCTGAAACTTGTGGGGAGTTATGGAGAGACGAAGTTTCAGAATAACGCTTTTCTTCTGACTCTTCATTCAAGCTCTCCTCGGGGCTTATGAATTCTTCAGAATAAGAATGAGTCTCCTCGTTGTGCAGAAACACAAGATTTTCCCTACCACAGGTGATGTTTTCTCCCTCAGAAGAATCCACACAAGAATACCCTTCTTGAGTTTCTTCTTCTTCCTCATCCTCAGTATACACGTATTCATATTGTTGATCATCCCTGCAACATATAAAGAGAAATTAATGTGTAAGTTAAGTGCTGGAGGCAAAAAATGTGCAGTGAAGAAACTAGAGGAGTGGACCTTTGGATTAAGGGAAATCTGCCAGTGAAGGTTAAGAAGGTGACAAGAAAAATGGCAGAGGAGAAGAGAATAAGGAAGAGAAGCTGAAAAGGGGTTGAGACATTGTAGAAGAGTTTAACAAGTGCTTCTTCTTTGGGACATAGCAGCATATTTTCTTTGTGGTGGCTCCAAAGTGAGCTTCAGAGGACTCCACCACTAAGCAAAGCAACTCCTTTAAGTGGCCTTCAGTTGTTGCTTTCGTAATGTGGTCAACAATAACATTGTTTCAAATGTCAAAATCTCTAATATCCCCCCAAATGGTTCGTGTCCCGGGTTATAAGCCCTAAGCACCAAGGATAAACCTGTCTTGAAGTTCACAAAGTTTAGAATATTGGACAGTCCTGGCTTCTCTCTTACAAAAAGATCTACAAGCCTTCTATTAGGAGCATGCAAATTCTAATATAACTTTTATTAGAGAAGGACACTAGCCATCATTTTTTATAATTCAGAAATGAACTTTCAGTTGTATGAGGTATCCACACATCATAAGTTTTTGTTTTAAATTTGATGATTCAAATTTGATTCACATAGTAGGGTGTCTCATTATGTTAAATAATGCCACAAGGAGTGCTAGTAACACTCTACCACCATATTTAAGTTTTATAGAAAGAAAAAAAAATGATTATGTGAAAAAACTCTACTAATGATGGGCGACTATTTTTTTTTTCATAGATTAGTCAATAGTCAATAGTAAAATCCATGATACTTAGTACCAATAACAGATTAAAAAAAACAAAAACAAAAAAAGTAACACTCTTCTTCTAACACATTTTCAGTATTATCATTGCATGAAAGTTGAAACGGGATTTTAATTTACAGTTACATCTGGAATGTAATTTTTCCTTTATAATATGAATAAAAGAACGAACTAAAATCACACTAGGAGAATCGTTTTTATTCTACTTTTCATGAATAAAGTACGTAAGTAATGTTGTGTAGTGTGTATTTAACGCAGAAAATCTAAGTCTAACAGAGTCCCTTTTTCCTATGAGAACAAAAAGCAGTAAAGAAGAGACCAAAACCAAGGCACACGCATAGGTAGACAAATATGTAGTACACTTTATTAAAGAATTACATTACATGACATTCTTCGAGGAGAAGTTGAATTCATACATTGTTTAATTGAATAGAGAATGCGTATTCTCTCAGGTTGCACCTATAATAAGGTCTTGTTTCTGAGTTATGATTCTTCCGATTCCAAAACTGGAAAGAGTTTTTTTTTATTTTTGAATTTTTTTCTTCTATTTGCAGGCTTGAGTGTATTCCTTACCTATTGATGGAATAAAGATCCTTTGGGAAAAGATGGTGTTGGCTGTGTCAATTGCAAATTCTTGTGGCAATCCTCTTTATTGATCCTTGTCTTTAACGTGGTTACTAAGATTGCAGGTTGCAGAACATATGTTGTCTTCAAAGAAAAAGTGATATTATATTATTATTAGAGTTTAGCTAACTTGTTTTTTGGTCTGCACAACTCGATGTTTACATCGAAATGAAAAAGAAGGACCAGTTACGTATTTGAGCAAATATCTCAATCGTCACCGTGGTGTTTAAAAATAATGCATCGACTCATTCCCCTGAAAGGAATTGATATAAATTCTAATAATGAACCATGAAGCTATTTTGTCCAAGAATTAAGACTTCAGACTATGAATGTCATTGCTGTTATTTTATTTATTCATTTTTCGTGAAAAAACCAGAGTATCAACAATAAAATTTGGAATAACATCATAAATATGAACAGAAAATGAAATAGTAGAACCATGTTTAGACATTAGAACAGCTACTTGATTTGTTTCTCCTATAAGACATGTACCCATTTGGTCACTCCTTCATCACTATCAATATCATCAATACTCTTCATCATTACATATGGTAGCAAATCATGGTTGTTATTTAGACATCTTATTTTGTTGTATAAAACTCTAGTTGACTTACTCGTGGGATGTGCATCACCGTTAATATATTTATTGATATGAAGCACCTTTTTTATTTTTAATAAGAAATGAGAAAGACATTAGGTGCATATAGTTTCATAAATGTGCATTTGATTTGGTAAATGGATTGCAGATCTTATACCGCTATGAGTCACCATAATTTATAAACAAAATTTTCCGTTGTTGATTTATGAAATTAATACATAAGATTAGGAGAAAGGCAGAGAATATCAAGAGGTGTTTGATATATGAAATAGTTTTATTTTTCTAAGAATTTTAAATCAAAATTTTTCTTTCTTATGTTTAGTAGTTATTTAAAAAAAAACTTCTCATGAATATAATTTTATGGAGATCATTTTTATCTCACTTTCCCACAAAAACATAAATATAAAAATATCACAATATTTTTTTTTAAATAAAAAATTTCTCTCCTTCCATTTCTCTTTATCTCCCTCTCCTTCTCCTTCTCTCATTCTCATTCTCACTATCACTCCCTCTCTCTTCCTCTTTCTCTCTCTTTCTCTCCCCTTCTATTTCTCTTTCTCCTTCTCTCTCCTCCTATTTCACTTTTTCTCTCACTCTCTCTCTCTCTCACTCTCACTCTCTCTCTCTCTCTCACTCTCACTCCCCCCCATATCTCTATTTCTCTCTCTCACTCTCCCTCTCCCTCTCTTCCACCCTCTCTCTGTCTCCTATATCTTTATTTCTCTCTCTTTCTTGTATTTTATTATTTCTTGACTTTGTCAATTTTAATAACATTATTAAAGTTTTTTGTTTTTACAATTTAATAGAATTGGTTAATACTTATTTAATTATTTGAATTAAATAAAATAATACATTTTAATCCTTTTAATTATTGTGTAGCATTTTATTTATTTATTTATTTTGTTGAATTCTGTATTTAAATAATTTTAATCATAAGTTTTCAAATTTTTAAAATAATTTAATGTTATATTTGTAATAAGATTTGAGTATATATTATATCTAATAAATTTATTTTAATAAAAAATATTTTTATAAAAAAATATTTATATAATCAGAAATATATTATTTTAATCAAATATTGAAAAAACTTTAATTTCTAAGAATCTAGTATGAACATTCTTAAGAATGATAATTTTCCGAATTTATAATTTTCCGGAATCATTCCAAAATATGGAAAACCTTATCTCCCATCAAATACCTTCTCAAGTTTTAATAAGGACAATTTGAAAAGAAAAATAAAAGTTAAATAAAATAAGTAAAAAAAATATTGTTAACTGAACGTGACATGACATGAGAGAAGTTTGGACTTTGGGGTGGAAAATGTGTAGCATATTACACAAACGTCTTCCTTGGCCCACGATACATAATGATATTAATTAGTATAGCAACACGCAGACAAAAGCCAATCATTGTTAAGAAGATCAACGATGCCAAGAGTTATTAATAGGAAATTACTACGTTACAAAATTCAAGGATACTAAAGAATTTTTCTTTCTAGTAAAGGTTTTTGCATTTATTTTATTGTATAAATTTCTCACACAATAAAAACATGAATTAAAGACTAATCAATTAGTAGTTGGTTGTTTTCAAAGTTGATTTGATTGACTCTAAGGATCATAGATCATTTCTTCGTTTACTACCTACGAAATAAAATAATTGAGGCTTTAGTTTTATTTTTCTTCCTAAAAACTACTAATGTTTTATAAATTTTAAAAGTTTTATTAATTAATATTTTCCATACATTCCCCTATTTAATAATTATGTCTTATTCTAATATTATTTCTATAATAATTATTAAATGAAAGTATCTTAAACTAAATACACTAATTTATAAATAATATTAAATATTTATAAGATATTTAATACAAAATTACAACCGGTTAACAATACAACCATATTCACAATTGATCCACAATGAAGACGTTTTCACCAGTGACTAATGAACATATATACTTCAAATAGTCTGATTGAATTTAACTAAATAGAAAATATAAGGGTACAATCGCATAGGCCAGAGACGTCCTTTGTCGATGTCTTCTTATTGACATCTACTAGTTGCATGCCCTCACCGTGTAAGCTAAAGGCCATCATGTCCTCCTAAAGGCAGAAACTCCATCTTTCGATTTTAGCAATATTTTCTTGGAAACCACCACCAAAAGATCTAACAATAGGATGCTTTCCTTTGTCAATAATGCTACAAGCCTCTAGCTATATGGCCAAAGATGAAGGGTTTGGTGAACCTACGTATAATTCGAGATCCATCAATAAATGAAACTAACCAAAACGAAGTACCAAGTGAGAAATGAGAATATGGAAGGAAGAGATTATTTAATCGCTCTAATTATCCTAGATAAGGCCTTAACACAACTAGACAATTTACCAAGGTTGAGCAATAACTCAGTTAGATCATCTCTAAATTAGAACAAAGCATTGTTAGCTGGAAGAATGAAAAGTTACCCTTTATTTTGTGTAGAAAAATGATATCAATCAATCAAGTATCCTAGCATCAATAGTACTTATGGTATTGTCATTAATTAGAAGCAAAATGACGACTTATCTTAAGGATATATTTTATTCTTACAAACATATATGACAACTATGAGTAAAATAAAAAAAATATATTTCTACCTATAAATATTTGGTATAAGTATAAAACTCAAATACTTGTATATGATTATTTGTTGTAGGTAAAATATAAGAAGTTGTTGTTATAGTACTCAATAATGAATGGATAAATCATTTATGAGATAATGTACAATAAATATTTATCAACATATTTTCAACTCTAAATAATAGTTTTTTTTTCTATACCATTTGCAAGTCATTTTTTCTTTTAGTTTGTATCTAAGTTTTGTTCAATTTTTTATAATGAAAAAAATTGGATACAATATTTTAAATATGGTTGATTTTTTTTTATTAGAATTATAATTTTACTTTTTTTATAATTATGTTATTAGTACGAATTATTCATCAATTTTTTCGATAACTAATCTTTGTTAAAAAACTTAACTGATCATTTTTAGCGATATCTCTCATTCTAACCACATTTTTTTATAAATAAGATTCAAATTTCAGATTTTGTTTAAAAAGATTAAATTCAGTATCACTCAAACCAATAACTTGGTGGTAAAATTATAATTCTACTTTAATAATATGTGCATAATTTAATAAAATTATTTATTACACATTTTTTTGGAAAAGATTTATTACACATATTGCATGGGTGAGAAACTACAATTATGATTAGACAATAGTAACAACAAAGCCTACCACACTTTAAATTTTTTTTACAAATACTTGTATTTCAAATTATTTGTAAATTCTTTATCTAAAAAAAATATTTCACCATAAAATATTTGACATTTTTTAAAACAATGAATTATTTCATTCAAATTCTCCATCCAAGCATTTTTTTTTTATCTTATCTTAATAATTTAAGAAGAATGGAAGATTTGGAGTGAGACAAATAATGTAATGGGAAAAAAAATATAAAGAATTGATTATAATTATAATTAATATTACTTATATATAATTATTGTCCTTAATTAGAGCAATGACCTAGTGGTCACTGAGAATTAATTGGGAGTTCGCAAGGTATTAGAAACATGGAGAGAAAGAGAGAAAAAGGCAGCCAAGTTTATATGATGGTGTGTGCTTCTAGAATCCGTATGTTGGTAAAAACATGGAGATATGGAGGATTCACAAAGTTTTTTGGTAGGATTGAAATTTGAAGATTACCCATCAAATACGACGGAATCGTTTACCTTGGACTTAGACATGGACACTCCTGTGGCTGCGGGGTTGGTCACCATTTTAACCACTCGTAGTACTATTAGTCGACGTAAACACTAACCCCCCAAAAAACATTTTTATATTAAAGCAATAGACGGCCACATATACACACATTAACTTTCGTTATCGTTAAAAAAGATCATATATTTTATGAATACTATATGTATTTTTCTTACAATATGAGTAAAGGAGGGAGATTACGGTGAGTGTTGGCAACTATGTCAATAATTATACATCTATAATGAAAAGAGAATGTGGTTTCAATATTGTACACGTTCTCATTGGACTATAGTGCAAGGTTGGCAAAGGGTTTTGGTGGGTAGAAATGGGTGAAGGTAGTTGAATTGAAGAGTATCCTAGAGATAGAATAGAATAGACGGAAATCTACATAACATATCCCAAATAAAGTGTAATCGAGACTCAACCCCCTCGTGCACAAATTATTGCAACTAGCCTTCCTAATAAATACTACATATTTTCCCATCCTTATCCTTATTATATACATGCATACATATTGATTACGACACATGACACGCAATAGTGGTATCTTCATAATCGCATTAATGTACTTTTGGTTTGGTTAGTAAATACGTACGTGTAAAATAAGTGACAGTTTTGGTATATTCATCTTTGTCAAAGAGTTAGTTGTTTGTATTTATTAAAAATAATATGAAAAGTATAAACGGATGCTAGTTGTGAAAAGTGGAGAAGGCATATATATATATAAGTCCTCACCTTGGTGATGTAAAAGAGCTTAATTTGGTGTTGTCCATAACATAACGTAACGTACTTGTGATGCACTTTTTGATAAGGTAGAATTAAGAATGGAGGAAAAGCTACCTCCTGGGTTCAGGTTCCATCCCACAGACGAAGAACTCATAACATATTATTTATTAAGGAAAGTGTCTGATACTGCCTTCACATCCAAAGCTGTAGCAGTTGTTGATCTCAATAAATCTGAACCTTGGGACCTCCCAGGTATTTCCTTCTTCTTCTTCTTCTTCTTTTCATTAGTTTCAAAAATTAAACCTATCTTTTTTTAAAAAAAAATATATTTTGGTTTAATTTGCAAGAGTTTATGTTCTTTAATTTACGAAAACTTAACGACGATGATTATTTTTGGAGGACTGAAACTTAATGAATGCGTTTCTAAAGCAAGATTCTACAATTAATTGAAGAAAAAACCCTAGACTGGTCCCTTTGCTGTCTACATATATAATTTTTCACCGTTATCAGAGGCTTAATTAAACGACAAAGTGTAAATAAAACTTCATTATTGGCATATCATTTTCTGCAGACTAATTCCATCATTAAATTAAAAGACGTCTTTGTTTCTGCTTCGTCTTCATCCTATATATAGTTTGAACACTAAATTAAAGCTTTAATTTACCAGAATTCAGAGACTTAATTTTGATTTATATGATGGTTCACACAAACTGAACGTTCTTTGTTAGACATCTTGATCATATATAGATGTATACTAATACAGCGTACGTATTGTTTTTAGATACTAACCATACTAAGACAAATTGATTAATATATATAGCTAGGTTTTGAAGTTAAAAAATAATTAAGATGAGTGATGTTGATTTAATTAATGTTGTGCGTATATGGTGATACACTGATACTAATAGGTAAGGCTTCGATGGGTGAGAAGGAATGGTATTTTTTCAGCTTGAAAGATCGGAAATATCCAACAGGGCTTCGAACGAATCGAGCGACGGAATCAGGGTACTGGAAAACCACAGGAAAGGATAAGGAGATATTTGGTGGTGGAGTTTTGATAGGAATGAAGAAAACCTTAGTGTTCTACATGGGCAGAGCTCCAAGGGGTGAGAAAAGTAACTGGGTCATGCACGAGTATAGGCTACAAAACAAGCAACACTTTAGATCTTCAAAGGTATTCTATGCACAACAAATATACCATCTTCTCACTACTTTTTACATTACACTTATGCTTTATTTATTTTTTTCCTAAGGGACAATTATTTGCCACATAATTAATTATATAAATTTTTAAAGTTATATTTGATGTCAATAGATTTAACCCATTAAAGAAATTAAGAAAACTATAAAATCTCTTTTCATTGAATAACTGATTAAAGGAGAAAAAAAAAACACATTCATTTGATATGTGTATAAGTTCAATATATATATATATATATATATATATATGTGTGTGTGTGTGTGTGTGTGTGTGTGAGGAGGG